TTTTTTTTTATTTTTTTTTTATTTTTTATTTTTTTTCAAAAAAAAAAAAAAAAAAAAAAAAAAAAAAAAAAAAAAAAAAAAAAACATTTCTGTCCCAGTTTTTCCCCCCCCCCCCCCCCCCATCTAAATCCGCCACTGCGTAACTATTGAACATGACCTTTAATTCATATCTCGTAACTACGTTAATACTTGGTCATTTTTGCCATGCGCTTTAGCTTACAAAGCATAGCTGTCTCATTACATCAATTTTATCCCACATGTCATTCTTATCAGTTGTGCAGCATCTATACATTATCCACTCCCTCTCCCAATTAATCCACCAGGTCGCCGCTTTCCATACACAACCAAGCGGGACCATGACAAGTCAAAGAGACAAACAGTGTATACAGGGTTACTACTAAATATGGAATATTATTTTTTGGCGAGTAAATTTTCTACAGAATATTTATTTTCTCTCTAACTACTTTAAATCCAAAACTGAGGTGTCACTCCATGTGTAGCCAGGTGTGTTACCTTATTACCACACAACTCTCGAAGCAATTGATGCATGCAGTTGCATGTTCTGTGGTCAGAAATGTAAGGGGTGGTCTTTTCGGCAATTTCTGCCCTTGTATAAAAACGCATGGGTTTGGCCAATCTTTGGATTGTATTTAGAGAAGCAACAAAGGAATCGCTCTGGAACTTGACAGGTACCTTAAAGAAGATATGGTTCGACAGCTAAGCAACGCAGCTTACTATGGGATTCTTGCTCTCAGAGAAAATGGCCAGAAACGGACAGCCATTGCCAGGCAATGCAACATTTATCAGGAACCGTTAGTAAAGTCTTCCACAGAAATGCTACAACAGGGGCACCTACTCCAATACCTTGAGCAGGGTGTCCGCGTATCATACCTAGAAGACAGGATCGCCTTCTCTTTAGAGTGCGCCATGCTGGTCGTACAAAGACAACCAGTGTCCTCAAAAAAGAGTGGCAGAATGTCATTCAAACGCCCGTTTCAAGGTCTCTCGTGAACAAGAGATTACTGCAAGCCGGTTATTTTGCACGAAGACCAGTAGGGAAACCACTGTTAACAACAGGTCATATACAGCGACGTCTGCAATGAGCTGGGGACCACGTGCGTTTGCAGCCAAAACACTGGAATCACGTCGTTTTCGGTGACGAGGCCAGATATGGAGTTCTTAGGGTTGACGGTCGAATCTGTGTCCGCCGACGTGTACAAGAGGCATAATACAATGCTTGTGTACTGCCCACGGTGCAAGTAGGGGGTGGTAACCTTTCTGCCGGTGCCCAGAACCAGTTGGTTTTCCTAGGAGGCAACCTCAACCAGGGATCCTACAAAGACATTTTACAGCAAACAATGCTTCGATTTGTATGAGTCATCTTCAGGAACAACATTGGGTACCAAGACGACTGCACACCGAGCTCACAGAATCACTGTTTTTCTTCGAAACCAATGGGTTCAGCAACTGCCCTGGCCTACAAACTCCGCAGATAAAAACTCAATTGAAAATCTGTGGGCAGAAGTAACTCAGAATTAATAGCTATGGTCATCGGCCGGTCAATAGTGATGAACTGCGACAGGCAAATATCACTGCGTGAAATGATATCCCCATCCAAACTCTAAAAAAATGTCACATTGTATGCCATGCAGGATGAGGGCACTGCAAGCGGCTGCCGGATGTCATACACGCCATTGATGACTTTTCATGATTTACTGTAATGAGTCCTTTGACTGTGTAACATATCACTGTCTGGAGGCTATCATTTTCTTTAATAACTTAGCTTAAAATTAATACTGACATCAAACTGTTGATATGATTTTGTCTTTTCTTTTGAATGACATCTTATGTCAGATTTGATATTATTGACCAAAATATCTCATAATATAAGACTGGATATTTTATCACTCATTGACATTCTTTTTTGATGTATCAAGCCAAAAAAATTAATCAGCACTCAAAAATAACAATGATAAATTATATTCCATATTAAGTAGTAAACCTGTAGTGAAATGTTAGTGCTGGGAATGGTTGACTATACCCTCAACATGTCCCCTCAACTCACACGTACGCATACACACCCTCATACGCCCGCTCGCGTGTGAGCACAAACACAAGCACTTGTTCAAACTTATACTGGGCTTGCATTTTTTTAATTATTATTTTTTTTAAATTGTCAACGTTCTTAGCACAAACTCAAACAAAACTTTTGAGGGTCCATTTTATGACCACCCCACATTACATGAAATAACCCGTTATAAAACCCAGGAGTCAGACATGACGGACTCACATCTTTGGATAACGCGATCTGTAAAGCTGCTACAGAGATTACCAGGTTCTATGTATTAAACTCTGCACACAGTAAAGAACATAACGACTTCTTGGTGTAACTTCAACAGCGTTCGATTGCGCGAGATTTTGTCAAAGAAGGCCTCTTTTATTATATAACCCCACTATCCTTATCATTCAGAAATCGAAGAGGGGGGGGGGACCTCCTTGGCCCCTCCCTAAATCCGCCACTGCACCTACATGTACATCTTCATATATTCTACATGTCTGATACACAGGACCTGGTCTACCTGAGCATTTACTTCATATTAATGCCGTTGTTTTGCTTCATTGCCAGTATCTAAGCTTGAAAGTAGGCATGATCTGATAGGCCTTTATTTTACTCGATAATATTGGCTCTGCCGACACTGTAACATTCAAATAACACGCCTGCTGAACTTACGGTTATGAATAAAATGTAATCAAATTCAAAAGTGGGCATGAACTGATTATCCCAATCTTTGTTCTTTTTGTTACCACAAGAGCTGGCAGGGAGGATATATGATGCCATCATTCCCAATATTTTTCCACATTTTGTCGATGGTTTTGACTAAAAAAAAGTCTACAGTAAAAGTGTGTACATGTATCTCGCTGTGTTAAAATATCCAGATAAGGGGTACGGGTTGTTATGATGCACTGAGGTTGAACTTGTTGGACGGTGGAAGTTTGGTCACCAGAGACAAGTCAGGCTCGTTCGGGTGAACATACAAAAGCTGTTTATTGTTGTTCCAAAATCACAGCTAGTGTGCAATACTTTATTTTTTCAAATGTCAAACCATGAAAGGAAACTTCTCAAACTTTTCCTGGCATACCAAGTTTTAGGAATTAAATGTCTGAATTCAATGTATTTACCATAGACTTGTGTAAGTTAGTATAACTTAGTTAAATAGGAAATTCTTGTGGCATGATGAGCATTTCATTGACTGTTGTATCTGTCGGCTGTTTCAAAGCATATATAACAGCTCTTGCGGCAGTATATGCAGTAAGGTTGGGCCCCTCCTCGAAAGTACCATAGAGGTTCTTACACTGAAAAGACATTGGAATATTACTGCCGACATTCAAATTCACGCACATTACATTATTTTATGTGTCTCGCTCAGATGCCAATAGATATCTCACCTTGGTGTTACTTCCAAATGTGCAATAAAAAATCTGGAATTTAGTTTTTAATATGAGTTTTTAATTAATAGTCTATAATGTATGTTTTAACATATTGTCAAGTGTTCTTACTTCATCGTCCATATTGGATAGACATGCAGTAAGTCCCGGCGTGTCTACTGGTCCTGGCTGGACTATGGTCACCTTGACCCCCTCCTGGCACACCTCCTGTCTTAGCGTTCGTGTCATCCCCTCCAAAAAGTGTTTAGTTCCACCATAAACTGCCGCACCTTTAAAGGCCTGAAAATAGTACTCCTTTCATTGTTATTTTCTCCTTTTAAAATAATAATCATGAAATTAGCTTTATTTCCGTATTAGGTCCTATGATTGTTCGAGAATTTTGAGATTTTACGATTTCACGGCAAGATTGGGAAAAATGTTTGGATCTCAGCGTTATTTGTTTTTAGAAATGATTTACAGTACATGTATCTGTAAAAATGTCATGTTTAAATGGTGTGCCTAAGCGTCTTCAATTTCACTTCGTCTAAAATACTGAAAATCTATAGCGATATGTTATGCTAATTTACTGTGTAACTTTAAAATGGTGCACCTATTTAATTTATTTCACATAAGTGAAATATCTATTCCATCACTTTCTCTATAAACGTTGATATAGGATTTGATGTACCTCTCGTCCGGTGGCAGACGATATGTTGACAATATGGCCTCTTTTTCTATCACACATATCAGGGATTACCGCTCCAATACAATTTAGGACACCCTAAATTTGAAAAATATTAATTATGCTAGTTAAATGCAAGTTAAACATTAAAATGTGACATTTTGAATCAGGTAACGTGAGAAATTGTCAATTTCTCCGAGGAATGTTGAACCTTCGGTTTATTGTATTCAAATTTGAGAAGTGGTACACATAAGTATGAAAATGTCTACATAGTACTTCAAGTTTTTCTTTCATATGATATATTGATCTCAGTTTTATTCAGATCGGCATGTATACAAATAAGGGGATAACTGGTCTATTTCACAAGAAGAAAGTATTTTTTCATTCGGTGTCAGTCTGTCAGTTTTTTCAAATTGTTTAATTCAGATACATCCAGGATCAAAATAGATCACCATTTGCTGTCTTTTGGAATAGACCAACATTGCATAATAATAATAATAATAATAATAATAATAATAATAATAATAATGAGACTGAAGTTGACTTTTGCGCACAGTTTTGTTAACTACGCAACAGCAAATTCAATTTCCACGTTTTATAACATGTCATTTATTTATTTATTTATTTATTTATTTATTTATTTATTTATTTATTTATTTATTGAAATAACAAATGTTGAATCTTTTCTCATTTTACCTTAATGTTAACGTCAACCATTTCTTCCCACTGGTCTTCTTTGGCATATTTCATGAACGTGAAATAATACACCCCGGCATTGTTGACAAGAATATCTACCGGACCAAATGTGCTCTCTGCGTTTTTTATCATTTCCTTGACCTAAAATTAGGTACAAGTATAAGAGACGACCTTTTCATCATAAAGAAGTTTTCACTGGTTAAAAAAGCAACGAAAATGGTGCTTCTGATATATATCGCTATTTATGAGTTTTTTTATGGATATATACCGGTACATTAAATATCATATTGGATATGAGAGAGAGAGAGAGAGAGAGAGAGAGTTCGGAGGATTAACCAGCATTTACCTCATTTCTATTGGTTACGTCGCATTTCAAAGCTACTACAACGCCACCTTCTTTTTCGATTTCTTCTTTTGTCTCCATTAACGGCCTTTCTTTTCTGGCTACTAGAACGACTCTAGCGCCCTCTGCTGCCAACATTTTGGATATGGCTGCACCAATTCCAACTGAAGCACCCGTTACCACGGCAACCTTGCAAGATAGAGGCTTGTCATCTGGAAATTTCATTTCAAATTTACATACAGATGCTGCCACCTGCTGGAAAGCTAGACACCTAGTTCTGGTGTGATAAGAATGGTAGTCCTGGGATTGGAAGCCCGGGCTCCCATATGATTTGTACAGGTTAGGGTATTGGGGTACAGTTACTGTATGGGACGAATGTCACCTGTACAAAGTAATGTGGAGTAGACTACCATTCCTGTCAAACCAGTAAATACAATAGAGAGTTCCGGAGGAGACAGGATTGTGCCGGAAGTAACGTGTAGTGGTGTAAGACGTGAAGCTGAGTGGTCATTTTTAGTTGGAGGTGAACGAGAGTGAAGATGTGGCCTCAGAGAAACTACATAGCAATATAACATTTTTTGTTTTGGTATTTTGGGCAAAAAATACTTGTAGACACAATAGGTACATGATATGAAAACGTGTTACGATACTTTAAGTTGCAAAATCTAGCTTAAGTTGCAGTCAATTTGTTTTTAAATATGTGCTGCATCGACCGACAGGGCGACAAAGAGCGTCAATGGAAAAGAATTCTCGCGAGGCTGTAAATCGTTGTCATGTAGATTTTTTGCATGTATGTAATCTGATATGCCCATATCTAAATATCTTTGGGTATTTCATGACATGCGCTGCAATTTTAACGTTTTAGAGTCCTTGAAGGACCTTGTGAAACCAGGAAGTTGTTCGCAACTGACAACTGAATCGCACCGAACATTTGTCACTGATTAGTGCCTACCCCCGTGTAATTGGTCGATTAGTGTAATCATATATGTGGAATTTCATGTCAGCTGGACATATAATCATCTAAAAGCTCGTCGTAATCTTTTAAAAAAGATAAACCATTGCACAGCAATCGTGGTTAGGTGTCTTTGTCTCGCTGGCAGTCGTTGCAGCATATATTTCAAAACAAATTGTTAGCAAATTAAGCAAGTAACATTGTGAAACTCAAGGTGCGCTCAGCGTGTCACACACGTAAAATATGATGTCAGTTCGGAGGTGGGAAAATGGTCACGCACCTGCCCCCCCCCCCCCTTGCCCCAACCCTACCGATTATGTCACAGACCTATCCGTGAAGGTAATTAAGGATAAAACTATAATCCACATAATATGTTCTTGGTATACGGTAGTCCACCAGTCCGAAACAATTGTTTGTAGACCTTACTTTACCTTGCTTGCTGGTTTGACTTTCCATGGTACTGCAGTTTCTGTAGCAGACTATGGTTTGGTATGGGATATGGACGAAAGGAACTTCGTAGACCCTGCCGGGTCCACCACTGATACGATAGCTCGACCCAGGACAACGCTGAGGTTATCTGATTAGAATGTTTAAATATTTGCAACGATACAGGCTTTAGCTGTTTTAAGATCGTAAACCGCGGGATTTTTATGATTAAACGACGCCTGCGTTGGGAATATATCTATTTGTGCTTTTGACAAATGACCTCTTAGATACTTTTATTTCAAACAATAAATGTATAAAACTTAAACATAAATCACAAATTGCTTTCTTTTGCGAGCAAAGGACTAAAAACAAAAATGAAAACTGAACACCTTAAAATTGGCGTTATAATTTGACACTGCACACTGCTTATATGAAAAAGACAAAATTCATCCATAAATGCATCATATCTGGGCTATGGGGACACACTAGATCTCAGCATGACGAACCTGTTACACGAAAAGAGTAAGTACATTTTTATTTTCAAAACCATTTGCCCTGAGATTAGAAGAGGGGGTGTAAAAAAGAAAGACAAAAGAATCTGTAAACACCCGTACATATATATATATGAAGTATGCATGTATTTTCAGATTTGCTAATGCTGTTTCGATCATCTCTCAACCAGGAGACGAATTCACGAATCTGCGCCAAATGCACAGAATGCTCTTAATAGTTGCAATGGCGATTTAGCGGAGTGGTATTCTACACGAAATTATAACGCTGTTATCTTCTGTGAGACAGTACTCGGGCTTCAACCTATATTCCGTATTAAACGTGCCATTGGCACATAAACGCAAGTCACGAAAGCAGGACGCACAAAATGAGAAGTAACAGGTGTTATTATGACACTTAGTATAAGTTCTTCAAACTGAACTCGTCAGTTCAGACGCGCCAGCTTTTCCTGCTGCCAGGTTGGTCCTTTTAAGCTTTGTGCAAGATGGCTCCCCTCTTTGTATTGACAGTCGCGCTGATGTCGTCGCTCTCGTCGGTCGAACCCGCCACAGATGCTGAGAAATCAGCGGAGTTGGCCCGACTGAAGGCAGAGTCCGGTAAAATTAGAGAAAAAATATCGAGAGAGTGCACTGATCCCCTGGGCATCTTAGGCAAACGACAAGCCATTGACGATTTGGACTTGCAGATAGCACTGGAGAAGAATAACCTCGCCTATGTTACACAGGTATGGTCCACAAGGTCTTACCGGAAAATACATTTTTAAAAAAATCAACATGTTATTCCAAAATCCCAAATGCCCCACGGTAATCCCTTTTGAGCACGCTACCTTTATATATTCCTTGCCATTTTGCCATGATTTGAACACTTAGGATAGACCTTTTTTTTCTTTTTTTGCTATCAAAAGTGGTAAGTCAGGCCCGTAGCCGGGGGGGGGGGGGGGGGGG